GTTATGGGAAGCAGGAGAGCTATTCAACTTTCTTATATGTGAACAAAATTACTCATTTGTTTTTAATATACTTAAAAATATCCTCTCTTGCTGAATCTTATAACAAATATGTGAATTAAGTAGGAATTATCATTCCCATTTTTCAGGTGAGGAAACTGATGTAACTGCCTTATTGTAAATCACATGAATAATGTATATGGTGGCACTGGCTACTCATACTCATATGATCTGATCCCAAGCCCCCTTATTTCTGTTATTTATTTTTTTTACCGTTATTTCACTAATGTACAGATCTTCAGTTAGATGGTAAAGTCTCCGAAGAGAGGCACCTTGTCTTAGGCAGTCTGTGCCTTTCATTGCATATGGCGTGATTCTTTGCACATAGTTATGAATCGATTTATGATATACCACGGTAAAAAAGTACCTATATAAGGCTGGGTATGGTGATTCATGCCCGTAATCTCAGCATTTTGGGAGGCCAAGGTGGGCAGATCACTGGAGCTGAGGAAGTCAAGACCAGCCTGGGAAACATGGTGAAACCCTGTCTCTACCAAAAATACAAAAACTTAGCAAGCATGATGGCACATGTCTGTGGTCTCAGCTACTTGGGATGCTGAGGTGGGAGGATCGCTTAAGCCTGGGGAGGGCAGAGATTGCAGCAAGCCGAGATTGTGCCACTGCACTCCGGCCTGGGTGACAGAGTGAGAATCCATCTCAAAAAAAAAAAAAAAAGAAAACTAATTATATAATATTACTAGTATACATTATTACAGAAATTGAGACACTGGAGATTTGTAATATTAGGATTCAGAAAAGCACGTGGGAGGCAGGACAGCACAGTGGTTAAGCACATGAGCTCTACGTAGGTTCCAATCCTGGCTCTGCCCATTAATATTTATACGACTTTGGGCAAGTTACTTAATCTCTCTAGACCTTAGTTTCTTTCTTGGTAAAAGGAAAATAAAAGCAACAGCAACAATACCCATTGCACAGGGTTGCTGTAAGAATTAGGTGAATTAATATTAATAGCTGCAATGCATTTAGAATGATGTCGGCACTTAGTAATCCTTACTGTTGCTACTATTCTTTTGTGGTTAAAGGGAACTTCCTGGAGGACTCCTGTTGATGCTGGCAGCCAAATGAGGTAGAAAAGTCTCCCACAGGATGAGAGGCCAGTTGCAAAATGCTGGCTTTCAGGATCTTGGTTACATGGTACATAAAATAGACTGAGAAAATGAGGCCTTTTACACAACTCCAGTTCACTTTGCTGATATTGTCTGTGATTCTGACCTGACTAGACAAACAAACCTCTGTCATAGCATAGCCTTAGAGTCCTTGAGAACTTCCTAGGGCAGCCAAACCTGTAGAACAGCTGTCAGAGCTGAAGCCTAAACTCACTGATGTTATCAAACACCTTGGTAAAGTCAACAAGCTAATTTTTGAAGGCGTTCCTGAATTAGTTCTGTGTCTGTTTCTCTGCACAGGTCATTTCCAACAATGTACCTACAGCTTAAAACCACTCATTCATTTCTTCCTTCAATTACTGAGTGCTCAGTTTGTGCCAGGCAGTGGGGATACACAGGCTGATATGGTTTGGCTGTGTCCCCACCCAAATCTCATTTTGAACTGTAGCTCTTACAATTCCCAACAAATTCTCATATTGTGAGAGGGACCCAGTGGGAAATTATTGAATCATGGGAATGGTTTCCCCCATACTGTTCCTTTGGTCATGAATGAGTCTCATGAGATCTGATGGTTTTATAAGGGGTTTCCCCTTTAGCTCGGCTCTCATTCTCTCTTGCCTGCCACCATGTAAGATGTGCCTTTCACCTTCCATCATGATTGTGAGGCCTCCCCAGCTACAAGGAACTGTGAATCTATTAAGCCTCTTTTTCTTTAAATTACCCAGTATTAAGTATCTCTTTATCAGCAGCATGAAAATGAACTAATACACAGACCCTGCCTGGGGAGCTCATGCCAACCTGGATAAAGAGCCCAGTGTAAGAAATACCACACTGGAGTATCAGGCAGAGTTTTCCAGAGATAAGGAATAGTCAAGTGCCCCAGGCATGCTCCTAAACTCCCTGCAATACATAGGAGTCCAAAATGTCAATGGTGCTGAGGTTGAGAGAAACCCTGGGCTAGAAGACCTCTGAGTGTTTCTCTAGCTCTAAAATTTCTATGTTTCTTTTGCTTCTTTTAAGCTTATGCATATGTTTAAGTAGCAGCTTCCTTCTTTTCTAAGTGGAACATCATCTAATAATAAGGTATAACTTCCCATAAAATGGTGGAATCTGCTTGTACCATTCCTGCCAGGCTGCCAACCAAGTGATGAGAAGTTCATCATCTCAAATCGTGGGGAGAATCCCTATAGCATCAATGGTCAATGTCCAGCTCTGTGGGGTTAAGGGAATAGAACTTCTTTGAATAAGTAAGGGAAATCTACATGTCATACAGAAGTCTTATTTCAGATAGTACTTAAAAAATTTAGAGATAGGCCAGGCACAGTGGCTCACGCCTGTAATCCCAGCACTTTGGGAGGCTGAGGCGAGTGGATCATGAGGTCAAGAGATCGACACCATCCTGGTCAACATGGTGAAACCCCGTCTCTAGTAAAAATACAAAAAATTAGCTGGGCATGGTGGCGCATGCCTGTAGTCCCAGCTACTCAGGAGGCTGAGGCAGGAGAATTGCCTGAACCCAGGAGGCGGAGGTTGCAGTGAGCCAAGATCGCGCCATTGCACTCCAGCCTGGGTAACAAGAGCGAAACTCCGTCTCAAAAAAAAAAAAAAAAAAATTAGAGATCATATTTTCATTATTTTTCTCTCTTTTTAAAATCCTTCCTTCCTTCCTTCCTTCCTTCCTTCCTTCCTTCCTTCCTTCCTTCCTTCCTTCCTTCCTTCCCTCTCTCTTTCTCTCTTTTTTCCTTTCTTCCTTTCCTCTTTCTGTTGCCATAATTTCTGATGCAATTATAGCTCACTCCAGCTTCCAACTCCTGGGCTCAAGTGATCCTTCCACCTCAGCTTCCTGATTAGCTGGTACTACAAGCATGTACCACCACAACTGGCTAATTACAAAAATTTTTTTTCGTAGACACAGGATCTCACTATGTTGCCCAAACTGGTCTCAGACTCCTGGCCTCAAGCAATCCTCCCACTTTGGCCTCCCTAAGTGTTGGGATTATAGGGCTGAGCCACTCTGCCCAGCCTCTCTCTTACTTTTCATAATAGCTATTTGTGGGGAGCAATGATCACTGGCTTCCATTTCACTTATCTGCCCAGCTCTTGCCTTTTAGATTGACATGCTCTGAACAGGGAAATGGTTAGATGCAAGTGACAACCAGGACTGTCAAAGTGTGATGTACATTAATTCCTAGACCGGATTTTCAAATCCCCAAAACTCCAAATTAGCTCCACTTGTTCCAGGCATTTGCCTTTCTTTTTACATCCGTTTTCTGCTTCAGACCCCACAGCTCTCAAACGGCAGAGGATGGTCAGTCTGAATACTTTCCCCAGGAAAACAAAGAATACAGAAGCGTCCTGGAGCAGGGCTCTGTCCTCTCAGAGAGCAAAGCTGGATGGGGAGGTCGTGCCACTTCAGTCCACTGATCAGTTAAAGCAGAGTCTCTGCAGGTGGCGAGCAGCCTCCGCGGTGCAGGTGTAATCGGGGCATCAGAGCTGAGGCGCTGCAGGCATGACTGACCTCCCGCTGTGGAGTTCCAGAAAACCAGGCTTTCTAATCCTGAGTCTGTCATTTACCAGGGTGACCTTGAGCATGATCCTGAACTCTTTAAACCTCAATTTCTTTGTCTTTAAAATGGGGAGAATAATAGTACCAATTTTATAGATTTTTTTTTTCTGGGGATTAAATGAAATGATCTATCAGGTGCCTGGAGGACAGTAACTTCTCCACTAGAGTGTCGCAGCTGTTAGTGCTGGTGTCATGGTTGGGCCTGAGACATATACGGGAGAAAAATAGGGCTCACTCTTATCATCCAGAAAGAAGTGGTACAAAGAACCCCTGTTTCTGGCTGGGTGTGGCGACACATGCCTGTGATCCCAGCACTTTTTGGAGGCTGAGGCGGGAGGATCACTTGAGGCCAGGAGTTCAAGACCAGCTTGGCCAACATGGTGAAACCTTCTCTTTACTAAAAATATAAAAAATAGCTGGGCGCGGTGGCATGGGCCTGTAATCCCAGCTACTTGGGAGGATGAGGCAGGGAATCACTTCAATCTGGGAGTCAGAGGTTGCAGTGAGCCAAGATCACACCACTGTACTCCAGCCTGGGTGACAGAAAGAGACTCTGTCTCAAAAAACAAACAAACAAACCAAAAAAACGGAAAAGAACCTCTCTCGATATGCACGCCTCACCAGAATTTTATCCCATGTTTTTGCAAAGAGGGAGAGAGACAGAGAGAGAAAGAGAGAGACAGAGACAGAGAGAAAGCAAAACGGAGGTCCCCAGTACTAAGGCTATGATCCACTGATCAGTATACTTGCTCTCCTCCGGCATGCTTCCAAAAGCTTCCTAAAGGTCCCTTGCAAAACTCCCCCTTTCTTTTTCTGAGGAAGCGTCTCGCTGGGTCAACTCTCATACAAACCTGTTCCTGTATTTCACCTAGCCTGGCTTCCTCTGAGTACAAACGACTGCACTCATAAAGGGTCGGGTTCAGGACCATCCTGGCTGGCAAATGTGGCTGTGGCTGCCTCTGGCAACTTCCCTAACTGACCCCTCAGGGCTATATGAGAGCGACGTGGTAAAATATCAGAGATGCCACTGATGGTGTGTCTAGAAACATGATGCCTCACTCCTTCCTGACAGAGAATTCCAGTACCAGAGTCACCCGGAAGCCAAATATAATTGGAAAGCTTTGAACTCTTGAGGAGAAATCCAAGCTTCTAAAATAAATTTAAAACTGAGCCGAGTGGAATCCTACTTAAATAGGTAGCCACCCTGGGATGACATAAATTCTGAATTTCTTTGAGTAACCTGTAGTTACCTGGTCACTTACCACAGCAGCTCCCCTCACAGGCGCCGGAGGTCCTGCGTGGCCGTCGCATCTGTGGAAATAATTTGAAATGATTTCTTTGAACAAGAGCCTAACTTTTACTGCGAGGAAAAACCAACAGCACATTTGCCATTAGCTTTTGATATCCTGAGAAGATCTAGTTCTAATTCTCTGCAGAAAGATGTTTCTTGGTTAGTGCATTATTGAAAAAAAAATTAGAAACCATTTCCTATGATTACTTAGAATCAATGCTTTCCATCTTTGTCACTCAGGTAGCTGAGAAAAAATTACGTATTAGTGGATCTATATTTGAGCACAACATAAAACATAAAATATAACAGCTATGTTTGTTGCACTGTTTATTATGTGTTAGGCCCAATCTTGGTGCGTGTTAATTTATTTAGATAGATCACTCTCCCGAGATGGACATTATGGCTACTCCCATTTTACAGATGAGAAGACGGAGGTACAGAGAAGTTAGAATTAACTGCCCAAGGTACACAGTTATTGGCTAAGCTAAAAGCTGGGCAAAGGCTGTCTGGACCCAGAGCCCTCGTTAACCAGTACAGCACTCTGACTCTTCTTCCTAATGGGAAACAAATTTTCTGTTTCTGTGCATTTTTATTGTAAAGAGCAATTAAGTAACGACCAGAATTGACAGTCCATAAGATAATTTAAAAAGAGAGAGAGGGAGTAAAAAATCCCACAACAACAACTACAATGAACACTGCTTTAGGACGCTGATTTCTATAAAGATGCCTGACTTACTAGGAAACCGTTTTGGAAGTGAAAAAGTATTCTTTTACTACTTGTGCTGCTTTCTCAAATTCAATGAGAAGCTGACCGATTTAAGACCTAGGCCCAGAATTGAGATAAATTTTAATCTTTTATTTATTTATTTATTTGAGATACAATCTCGTTCTGACACCCAGGCTGGAGGGCAGTGGCACGATATCAGTACACTGTGACCTCAACCTCATGGGTTCAGGTGATCCTCCTGCCTCCGCCTCTCAAAGTGCTGGGATTACAGGCACGAGCCACCACACCTGGCGTAATCTTTTAAATAAATCTATAATCTTATGCCAAGTGGTTCTCTGTCTGAATTCAAAATTTAATAGACTGCCCAGCTGTGGTGGCTCTTGCCTGTAATCCTAGCACTTTGGGAGGCCGAGGTAGGTGGATCACTTGAGGCCAGGAGTTCGAGACCAGCCTAACCAACATGGTGAAACCCTATCTATATTAAAAATACAAAATTAGCCAGGTGCAGTGGCAGGTGCCTGTAATCCCAGCTACTCAGGAGGCTGTAGGCATGAGAATTGCTTGAACCCAGAAGGCGGAGGTTGCAGTGAGCTGAGATCGCACCACTGCACTTTGGCCTGGGTTAAAAGAGCAAAACTCAGTCTCAGAAAAGAAAAAGTAAAGATTTAATAGACCATAACGACTGAGCGCTCTGTATGAAATCGGGCCCTTTCCTCCACTGAGAGAACAGTAGTGGGGTTCGAGAGTTAAAGAAACTGGGACTCTAAGTCAGATCAATTAAAAGTTGCAGGGCAAAGGTGTCCATTCAGACTTCTAGCTGCTTCGTGGCTCATAAAAGTTGAAAATAAAAACTGGGAGACCAGCTGCTCGGGAGGCTGAGGCAGGAGAATTGCCTGAACCCAGGAGGCGGAGGTTGCGGTGAGCCGAGATCGCGCCATTGCACTCCAGCCTGGGTAACAAGAGCGAAACTCCGTCTCAAAAAAAAAAAAAACAACTGGGAGACCAAGTAATTTTATATCCTTAAGATATCCACATGTATTTTACAGTTGAGCTCAGATTTTAACAGAGATTGAAATGAACAGTAGGGATTTTTCCACGTAATCCTGAAATACTGGATCTGCTAACAGTATCTAGGAGTTAAATACAGCCTTCATTTTTATTCCTCTTTTCCATGCACCTTTATCGAGTCTGTTTTCCTCCTCCGCTCTGCATACTGTGTTGAGCTCTTTGGAGGAAACACATGTGACTCAGATAGGGACCCTGTTCTCTGAGAGCTTTTAGGAAACAGCGGGTACATAAAGAGCCAAAACCTCAGTCAAGACTTGATAAGGAGGATAAAGACGTATGTGTAAAATGCATGGGAAATGCAGAGGGGCCAGCAAGCCCTTCCTGGGATAAACGGGGAAGGCAATAGGAAGATGGCAGTGGAAGTGGTACAAGAGGCAAGAATAGCCTGAGCAAAAGCTTGGAGATGGGGGCACTGCAAGGGAGGCCGGGACTGGCAAGTGATCCAGCATGCCTGGAGCCAGGGCTACATGCCAGACTGTGAAGGTTCTTTCCAGAATTGTGCTGGGCTGCATCCCTCACGGTGCATCCCCTCAGCCCAACACTCACCAGCTCACCAGTCCCTGCTTCTGATTTGGGGCAAGGGCAGCAGGAGCAGGTTTCTGAGAATGGCAGGTGTGTGGGAGATGCAGCTAAAGGACCAGGGGATGCCTGGAGCACAGCTGGGATGCCACCACCAAGTGTGAGGGCAGGCAGCGAGTGCAAGGATGCACGCTCGCCTAAGGGGGCCATGGCCGTGTGTGCCTCTGTGGACTTGGGCAGAAGAGCATAGGGCTCAGCAGTTTTGAGAGCCTGGAGTCTCCGCACCCACTCCCAGGCCTTCCCACCAGTTAATCTATGTTTCTGATGTGACGAGTTTCCTCTTGGACAGTGAAAAAAAGCAACAGTGGTATCATGAAAATTGTACTGGTAAAAGCCCCATGAAAATTACAGTTGGTCATTTTAAGGGATACTAAGACACCTCATCTTCTGCATTTACCCACAGTCCTATGGATGCTATATCGGAGACATTTTATGTATATCTCCACTTCTCCATCTCCAATCATTCTTCCTGATACTCAACTTTTACAATTTCTCTTCTGGACTCCTCTCATCCTTGACACCACCAATAGAAAGATCTCACCTAAAAACCTTACAATAAGGTATTATCCAAAATCCTAACATGAGGCCAGTCGCAGTGGCTCACGCCTGTAATCCCAGCTGAGGTGGGTAGATCATTTGAGGTCAGGTGTTCAAGACCAGCCTGGGCAACATGGTGAAACTGTCTCCACTAAAAATACAAAAAAATTAAAGAAATTTTTTAAAAATCAAAATCCTAACATGACATAAGGCTTTTCTTTAATCTGGCAAACTTCCCTGGATAATCCAGCACCCTTCAAGTCTCATCTGCCCACACTCTCCTCCTCCACAGGTACCTATACTCTAGACTTGTCAAATTAATTCCGCCTCCATTAAACATTCTCTCGTTTCCATACCTCTACAGACACCATTCAGAAATTCTCACTCAATAGAGTAGGGTGGGGCTCAAGAATATTCTTTTCTAGTCAGAACCCCGGGTGATTCCCCCCCAAGTATTGGTGGGGCATACTTTACCCAATGAGGACGTCCACATGGATGGCCATAGGCCATTGAGATCCTACTTGTCCAAAACGGACTCTGTGTCCTCCTTCCATCCCACTCCTTCCTATCCTCCCAATCAACAAATCCTGTTGATTCAAACTCAGAAATCCCTCTCCAACCCATCCACATCGCTACATCTCCCTGCCTTTACCCTAATTAAGACATTTGTCATCATTTGCCTTTTTTTTTGCTCTAATAGCCTCTTAACCGTCCTCTGCGTCCAGGTTTTTGTCCCAATCCAGTCAATTCCCTGTATTTTCTTCAGAGTGATCGATGTAAACTGAATCGTACCACTTCCCCGTGTTGTGGCCTCTGCCAACCTCTCTTGCCCCATCTCTTATCAGCCCTCGCCTTGTACTGCGTCATTGAGCCTCAGTGACCTACATGAATTCCTGCCTCTCCACTCTCTGCACCTTGGATTACGTCATTTCTTTTGCCTAGCGGAGCGTCTGGATTCTTAATGGCCTGGCTGAGTCTTATCTGTCCTTCAGAAACTAGCTCTCCTCGTCCGGGAAGGGATCTCGATCCTCTAGTCTGACTTAAGTGCTTACATTCTTTCCTGGCAGCAATGTCGTGCATCGCCACAACAGTCTCCACCTTATACTGTAATCGTCAGTGTACCCAGCTGTTACCTAGGCAGCTAGGCCACGCGGTATCCCTGTGTGAATTCTAAAAGGCACCCCTTTCTCCAGACTGCTTCCTGTCATTTGCTGGAAACTGCCATAAGAGACGTACAAATCCATGATGGTCGTGATGCAAGGGGCACATCCTAGCATTCTGTGGTGTGCGCCTGCCCGGCCCCTGCAGCAATCCGGTGTTCCCTACTAGAATATTAAATCCTGCTTTCATTTCACTATTTCATTTCCAGCACTTAACATAGGCTCGGATTTAGAGTGGGAAAGAAGCTTGATACATAAATGAAAGGGAAACTATCTCTGGCTATTATGCCCCGTGCCAGAAATTCTGACAGCCCTTATCAGAGTGGGAGGAAGCTAAGTTGTAGCAGTTCCCAAACTTGAGTGAGCACCCAAATATTCTGGAGAATTAAAAATAAATAAGTAAAACCCCCGTGCCTTACTTCAAAAGCACCAGGCTGGGGCCTGATTTTGTGTCTTCGTTTAAAAATTGCTGATGAGATTCTAATAATGATTAACCAGATCAGCTGGGAACCATTGGCCAGCCAGGATACAACTAAAAACCACTCTCCTTGTCTTGTTTCTCCCTCTTGCCACCACAGTGCTGCCGTTTATCTGTGGATAGCACACCTGGGATCACAGAAGGAGCGTTTCCAAAGAAGGAGCTTGCTTTCTCTGACTTCTCCTGCATTTAGGTGTCTTAGATTCTTGTGTCTTCCAATGTAGACACAGGCACTCCACTAGCAATGAGCAAGCGTACACAGTAGGGCATTTGGAAGGAGGAGGGACAGTGGTGGAGAGAAGGCGGGTGATAGAGAGCGATTGAGAGACAGAGAGACCAGGAAAAAAAAATATGATCTGCCCTTTTAATTTTCCAAAATAGTATTTAATCTTTTTACTTATGTAACCTAGAGGTTGCAGCTGGACTGTCTTCGCTGTGTACGCGCTATGGGTCAGGCAAATTTGGACATGTCTGAGAGCAGCTAGGTGGATCCACCAAAGCTCTTTGCATCTGAAGGGCCACGCACATTACTTATTACCACTACAAAGTGGGGAGGGTATCACTGTAATAACTGGGGGTCTGAAAGGAACAACTATAGATTCTGCTTGGCAGCTGGGAAGACTGCATGCCTAAGCTGCCGGCATACACCATTGGATACCTACTGACCCCTGTGGAAGGGATTTGTGAGATGACAAAGTTACTGAAATTCTGTGGTAGGGGCTGAGCACATGTCACATGCACTAGATAACCCCAGAACAAGACACGTGGAAACATGACTTACAATATGGAAAGATGTTGAGGGAAAGCTACTTGTATATATGTATACTTTTCTTGGATTTATTCGTTAAGAATATACACATTAAAACATGAATGAAAATTATTTTTCTTTTTTCTTGGGGTTGGGATAGGGTCAATCATTTACAAACAGGAATAAAATCATAATGGGATAATTTGGGAAGTGTATATGTTTGAGAAGAGGAACAAGCTGTATTTGAGGCAGAAATGGTAAATCTTTTTGCTTTATTTATTTTTTTTCAAACAGGGTTTCACTGTGTCACCCAGGCCGGAGTGCAGTGGTGACATGACTCACTGCACCCTCCACCTCAAGTGGAGGGCTCAAGTGATCCTCCTACCTCACCCTCCCAAGTTGCTGGGACTACAGGCTTGTGCTACCATGCCTGGATAATTTATTTTTTGGTAGAGATGGGGTTTCACCATGTTGTTCAAGCTAGTCTCAAAACTCCTGAGCTCAATGATCCTCCCTTCTTAGCCTCCCAAAGTGAGGGGATTACAGGCATGAGTCCGATGACAGGCCTTTCTTCTTGCATGTTTACAAGTTCACAAAGTCATTGTGTTCCTGTGGCTTTTTATCCCTGATAGCAGGATATCAGAGCTTGAAGATACCATACACTTTTATTGACTGGGCCTTAAAGGGAATGAGTGAATCTAGTGAAATAATGAAGTCCACGCTCTTCTGGGGAGGGTCACCTATTATCAAGTGCATTTCTCAGTTAGAACCAAAGCTTAGAAGAGAGAAAAAGAAGTCTCTGCTAAGTACATGTTTAAGTGCTGATCAGAAGGCTCTCTTTCACCTGTGTTGATTCTTTTTCTCTGATTTGCAAAAAAGATCCTCTCAATTGCTTTACTGACTTGTTCTCCAGAGCACCGAGTGTGACAGTCAAGCCCCTATGGCTTCAGCAAGTAGAAACCTGACTGCTGCCTGCAGAGGGTGACTGTGTGTCCCTGGGCCATGCGTCAGTCCCTCCCAGGGTGCTCACAGGCAAGGAGGAGCTCCTGAATCACAGTCCATTTTTCGGGTTGCTTTTGTATTTCCATCTACGCTGCCAAAGAAAGTTAGGTTTTACCTGAGATAATAGAGCCCTTCAGAATGGATGACTTTATATCATCACACAATGCCCCCCTTAAGAAATACCTCTTCTCCCACATATAGGATCCATATCTAAATATTTAAGTCACATTCAAATTTAAAGCTAAAAAAGACATGCTTCTGTATTTCATCTTCTGAAACCTCTTAGGGGCAAAAACCAGTGCATTTAATTATATTCTGCACTAGCAGAATTAACATGTGCTTATCAATATCAACAGTAAGATAAATGTTAAATATCCTCATTTGTGTTTTGAAAGTAAAATGTATGTGAAGATGACAAATTCTGAAACTGCTGAACACACAGAAATATGCTCAAATGATAAAATATGTTTTATTTCTGCATGTTGTATCTATGTTTCAATTCTTCTGGTTAAAAGAGAATTCCAAGTCACTTTGATATCTAAGAAGGACATTTGCTAAACATAATTTTTCAAGAGTTTTAATTTTTTCCAGTTTGGTCTATAAGCAAAATACATGATACCCAGCATGAAGATTACATATCTAGATATTCTTCCACCTTTGCAGTAATTTGCAACATGAGCTTGGAAATAAGTTGCCCCTAGAATTAACAGGTTCCTCAACTTTTCTCAATTTACTAATATTAGACGGTTCAGCTATGCAACATTCTGCCTTAAAGAAAATCACCTAAGGTGCAAATGATATCACAAATCCTAGCTATACCACACAGTGGAAATATTTTTTCTCACTCAAAGAAATATTTACTGTGCAGAAATACTTCTCGATTTTAAATTCTCCCAATGTGAGACTCACTAGTGTCTCAAAAATTTTTACAAAGAAAAAGAACTCACCTATTTGAAGAGTATTTCCTTGCTAGGGACTCTGGTGGCTACCGTCATATAAAGCTACATTTTAGTCAGTTCTTTTTTCATCAGACAAAAACAGCCTCGGGTGAAAGCTGGGAGTGAAAAACTGTCCATTCACCCAAGAGGGGAGGACAGTGTTCTGCGAAGTCCAGCAGCCTCATCACACGCCCCACCAGCTGCTTGCTGCCTCTTGTTTCTCGGCGACAGTGACCTCCAACACCTTTTATTTAGTGCTGCAACGCACCGTGCGGTTTGACGGAACAAGGAACGTATCACGTGCCAAGCCAACACCTTAAGAGGGTGGGAAGCTTTGCAACCAGGAAGACGTGCCGAAAATATTTAGCAGTCAGCTCAATTGCACTTAAGCATAGCCTTGCTTGTTTTTCGCAAAGCGATCCAACAACACAGTGAGTCAAGGGAACTGATTTGCACAGTCCTAAACTGGGAGCCACCTGGAACTAAGTTTGCACTGCTCCAGAAGCTTCTCCGCTCTCACCTTATGCATTCTGAGCAGTCACGTGGGACTGTTAGAAGCCCTCCACACTTCTAACAGCACTAATTACATTTCCTCCCTCTGGTTCAGAATTCTGTTTTTCTCCAGTCTCTTTGCTCATCTCACATTTGCTTTCATCTAGTCTTTATACCCCAACTCTGCTGATGCCCAGGACACGTACTCTGCAAAGAAAGAGTAGTTTTTATTTAAATATATCTTCCCGGCCATGACAAAGGCCAGATTCTTGGAGCAGTGAAACAACCGACAATCGTGATTTCCCAGCGTTTAATCCATCACTCGCCAAATGCACCACCAATGCACTCTGCGTTTCGTCAGAAGTTGGATTTCAGGTGAGGCGAGTCTCGTGGTTTCCTAAGAACACTGTCACTATGGAAGCTAAGTCCCGTTTCCTTTGTTATTAATACCATTGGAACTGAAATTCGAAGAACAAACATTAAACACGCTGAACACAAAACAGGCCTCTGATATCAGATAGCAAATGGGCTGTAACATGACCTGAGTTTCACTCACCCTTTCTGTCCCAGTGATGGAAGCTTTGAAGTCTCCTTTCCAGATTTCCTGAACGAGAACAGGGAAGCAAATGACGATCTGAAGCTCATCCGGGAAGAAACAGATGTTGGTTTTTTTTGATTAGTTAAATTTTTGGATCTTGATGTAGGTAATTCTATTGGATCTAAAAAAAATTGTAAAATTTTTGTATTAATTATTTCTGAGCAAATATACTTGAAAGAATGAGGCCTTTGCTCTTGTGTCACTTTCTCTCTCTATGCAGTCTAGAAACAGGGCAGGCGTCCTCACGTGGTGACCTCAGGGGATTAAGGGAGTCAGAGCAACCTCTCTCCTGCACCTCTGAGGTTCTGCGGCATAGAGAAAATCCACATAGGAGGGAATCTTTCAATGTGTACTGTGAATCAAAGTTCCAGACAGTATTCCTCCTCTCACCCAAGCTAGGAAGTCAGGGACCCCATTCAGTTCTCATGTTGCTTCACCATGCTGTCCTTCAGAAGTTTTTATTTTAGTAACTTAAAACCATGGTGATACAGACATGCTACATAACTTCTTATACTGAAAAAGCAAAGGAAAAGGAAATTAAGCCATTTAGATTGTTCTTTATTCCTTTCTAAAAATCTATCTCTGTGGATATGTATTTGCTATAAACATGGTTTATATCTATGTTTGCATGTAACATACACAGGGTGAACATCCTAAATCCTAAAAACTTGAAATTCAAAATTTCTCCAAAATCCAAAAAATTTTGAGCACCAACATGATGCTTAAAGAAAATGTGCATTGGGACTGGGTGCAGTGGTTCACGCCTGTAAGCCCAGCACTTTGGGAGGCCGAGACAGGTAGATCACCTGAGATCGGGAGTTCGAGACCAGCCTGGCCAACATGGAGAAACTTTGTCTCTTACTAAAAATACAAAATTAGCCAAGCTGGTGGCACATGCCTATAATCTCAGCTCCTCAGGAGGCTGAGGCAGGAGAATTGCTTGAACCCGGGAGGAAGAGGTTGGTGAGCCAAGATTGTGCCATTGCACTCCAGCCTGGACAACAACAGTGAGACTCCATCTCAAAAAAAAAAATTGGAGACTTTCAGATTTAAGATTTTTGGATTTGGGATGCTCAACTTTTCAGTTTATATAATGCAAATATTTTAGCATACAAAAAGATCTGAAATCAGTACTATTTCTGGTGCTAAACATGTTGGATAATGGCTATTGAAACTATTTATGTATAATATATATGTATGGATAATATATAGGTACTAAAAATTCAAAGGCAACATCAACACATACAAAATCTATAATATTGGCCCAGCACAGTGGCTCACGCCTGTAATCCCAGCACTTTGAGAGGCCGAGGCAGGTGGATCACCTGAGGTCAAGAGTTCAAGACCAGCCTGGCCAACATAGAGAAACCCCCTCTCTATTAAAAACACAAAAAAGTTAGCTGGGCGTGGTGGCGCACACTTGTAATCCCAGCTACTCAGGAGGCTAAGGCAGGAGAATCGCTTGAACCCAGGAGGTGGAGGTTGCAATGAGTTGAGATTGTGCCACTACAATCCTGGGCGACAGAGTGAGACTCTGTCCCTAAATAAATAAATAATCCATAATATTATGATGATTTTGGACATGCTGGCTTTATAAATATTAGAGGAATTTAGGACAAGGGAAAAGTCACCAGGATATATATGGGGGTGATCTAAAACTCTGAACTGTGAGTCTTTTTTTTTTTTTTTTTTTTTTTGAGACGGAGTTTCACTCTTTTCACCCAGGCTGGACTGCAATGGCGTGATCTCGGCTCACCACAACCTCCGCCTCCTGGGTTCAGGCAATTCTCCTGCCTCAGCCTCCTGAGTAGCTGGGATTACAGGCACGCGCCACCACGCCCAGCTAATTTTTTGTATTTTTAGTAGAGACAAGGTTTCACCATGTTGGCCAGAATGGTCTCGATCTCTTGACCTCGTGATCCACCCGCCTCGGCCTCCCAAAGTGCTGGGATTACAGGCGTGAGCCACGGCGCCAGCGAACTGTGAGTCTTTTTACATAGATTTGTTTATTATAAGAGTTGCAAGATATTAGCAATATAGAAGTTTAGATGTATTTTGACATGTTTCCTGATGTTGCTAATGTTAGCAACATGCAAAAACCCAGTCTATGTGACTGCATCAGTAAAAAGATACTTTATTCTAGTATTTTATAATTTCTAGTGCACTTCATTTTCCTCACGACAGTCCTGTGAAAGCAAGTTTTAGAATCCGTTTAATCTGTTTTTATAGATACAAAAAGAATTGATTGGTGAAGTTAAATACGTGTCGGTAGTCACACAGAGAATCCACAGAAGGCATTTACTGGAACTCATTCATGGAGTTTACCAAAGCTCCAGAAGTGTGGCAGCTCCTGTACCACCTTCCCTCCCTTCTCCTCTGATTCTCCCTTCCTCCACTCCTCCCCTTTTGCTTCCCCTCTTCATCATAGTCATCCCATTTAAGTGCTTACCCCATTCCAGCTTAATATTGTATTATTTATTTATTTATTTAGGTGGGGTCTCACTCTGTCACCCAGGCCGGAGTGCAGTGGCACGATCTCAGTTCACTGCAACCTCTGCCTCCTGGGCTCAACTGATCCTCCTGCCTCAGCCTCCAGAGCAGCTGGGGCTACAGGTGTGCACCAGTGTGCCCAGCTAATTGTTGTATTTTTTTGTAGTGTTGAGGTTTCACTATGTTGCCCAGGCTGGTCTCAAACTGCTGAGCTCAAGCCGTCCTCCCGCTTTAGCCTCCCAAAGTGCTGGGATTGCAGGTGTGAGCCACTGCCCCACCCAGCTTAATACATTGTACACATAATTTTACTTAATTCTCATAACCACCCTATGAGGTAGGTATCAATGTATCCATTTAAAGATGAGGACACATTATTCTCTGTTTACAGAGAATAAATGACCTGAACAGACTCACATGAATAGAGACAGGGTGGAGATTTTAATACAGGCCTTTGTTGCCATCAGTGTCTATGTTCCTACCCGTTATGCTATCTTGCCTGATTATAAACAAAAAACAAAAACAAAAAAACCCGAGACATGATTACCGTAAACTTTCAGTTCACTTCTTTTTAATGTATATTGTATTATAAACTTCTGTGGCTTATGACTTTAAAATGGTTTTAAACATGGATTAGTTACACTGGAGATCCACTGGTCTATTATCTAGAATACTATGCCACAGAAGAAAAAAAGAAAAAAAAACTTTAAATCTAAAATCTTTTTCTTACCATTTTTTGCCATCTCCTTCCTTAGCCTGTATGTAAGTGGTTGTTTTAACATTTGGCTAACGTCTGTTTCATCGCAAAACTTTTTTCTTTGAATTTCTTCAAACCATTCACCAGTCACTCCCTGAAGCCATCTGATATCCCTCTTTGTCTTTTGAAGTTTGCTGAAATAAAATAAAAATATCAATGCAGTCTTTATTTATTTTCTTAACATCAAGCTCATCCTTTAATCAATGTACTTTTTTTTTGAAATGGGGAAGTCTCACTCTGTCACCAGGCTGGAGTACAGTGGCACACCCTCATCTCACTTCAACCGCCACCTCCTGGGCTCAAGCGATCCTCCCACCTCAACCTCCCAAGTAGCTGAGACCACAGACACATACTACCATGCCCAGCTAATTTTTTCTATTTTTAGTAGATATGGGGTTTCCCCATGTTGCCCAGACTGGTCTCGAACTCCTGAGCTCAAGCAATCTGCATGCCTCAGCCTCCCAAAGTGCTGGGATTACCGAAGTGAGCCATCTTGCCCAGCCTCAATGCACTGTTTAAATTCATTCACATCTAAGGCAAATTCACGTGATGGGCTAAAGTTTTCCTAATGGAGGAGCAGCATAATCTATAAGTCTAGGGAAAAAATGGCCCGAGTCAGAATTTCCCTTTCAGCACTGTGTGCATTTTGGGTGTTTTCTTGTTTCTTTTTTTCATATTCTTGTAAATACTATGGCAAACTAAGTTTTACCAGAAGGTACAATAATCACCAAGCTGATGAGGACAACCTTAATTAAGCAATGTGCTAAAACCTGACCTACTAATGCAATTGAATAATAGATTTTCTAACAACATGCAGAAACTAGAACACTCTCGTTCTCATTACTCATTCATTCACTTGTTAATCCACTAAATGTTTCTTGAGCAATGTTAATCAATTTAGTGTTTATGAGGACCCAGGTAGGCCATGGATTCAACAGTCAATGTAACAAATAGGACACTTGCTTGTCAATCCAGTGGTCAAAAATAAAAGCTAACATCAGAAAAAAATTATTGAATGTAACGGTCTTATTCTTATTATTATTTGAGACAGAGTTTTGCTCTTGTTGCCCAGGCTGGAGTGCAATGGCGCGATCTCGGCTCACCGCAACCTCCGCCTCCCGGCTTCAAGCAATTCTCCTGCCTCAGCCTCCCCAGTAGCTGGGATTACAGGCACGTGCCACCATGCCCAGCTAATTTTTGTATTTTTGGTAGAAGTGGGGTTTCTCCACCTTGGTCAGGCTGATCTCAGAATCCCGACTTAAGGTGATCCCCCTGTCTTGGCCTCCCAAAGTGCTGGGATTACAGGCATGAGCCACCGCGCCTGGCCAGAGTGGTTGCTTTTCCACAGCACTGATGGAAAAGTTAGGCATGTTGTTGGATTCCAGTCTTGGGAAATAAAGTATTCCACTTGGCTCAGCAGCTGTTATCCTCTAGCCAGGGTCTGCCATAAAGCACAAGTGTTGGGGTCTTTGTCTTGTTAAGGAGGTGATGAGCAAGAGATCCTTAAAGTGGCAACTTTGGAGTTAAAAGGCAATGAACTGAGAGGGTTGCAACTCAGGCTCCTGCTTGAGGCTATGAAACTGCTCCTTTATAAAATATTCAAGAAAGAAGCCAGAGGTCACCCTGCCCAGACTTGCATTTTGCAAAGCATTAGACGGCAATCACCACGTTCAACTTACAGAATTTGCCTCAGTGCCTCCTTTCCTGCCGCATCCGCCCTCTGATGCCTAGTACCCCTGTCTCTATTGCTACTTCATTTACTAACAGCAGACTAAGAGACCGTAAGTATCTGCTTCTAACCAATAGTGGCTGCCTCTAACCTACGGACACCTCACTTACTAACGCCCCACATTTGTACACAGTCTCCACTTCTTTGGAGCCCTCCCTAATTGTCAGTTCCCCAAAAGCCAGCAGCTCCCTTCTCTGTTTCTGAAAGCATCAGTCTCATTTCAGAAGACAGTCAAGCTACTTGACTTAGAAATGATGCGTATAAACAGCATTTTCCCCCGAACAGGCTTGATGGAATATTGACTCTCTTTTTACAATTTTTATTTTTTTATGCATTTATTTCTAGAGACAACGACTCGCTCTGTTGCCCAGACTGGAGTGCAGTGGTGCGAATATAGCTCACTGAAGCCTTGACCTCCTAGGCTCAAGTGATCCTCCGGCCCCAGCCTCTCTTGTAGCTGGGACCACCGTCCATGACTAATTTTTGTAGAGACAGAATCTCATTCTGTTACCCGGGCTTGCCTTGAACTCCTGGCCTCAAGCAATCCTCCCGCTTCAACCTCTCAAAGTGTTAAGATTATAAGCATGAGCCACCATGCCGAGCCCAGAAACAATCAGAGTTCGCTTAATCGTACTTCGAGCTTTCCTTCCGTGCTATGTACGTATCCACCACTGACTGCTTCTTTTCTGTCTTCTGGCTGATGAAGCCAGAAATCTGTATTTCCCTGAAAGTACTCATATGCTTTGAATTCCACTCCAGGAAATTTATCTTAAAGTAATAGCCCCACTCCAAGAGCATTAATTTAACTGAGCATCATGTACTTGCTGACAGTAATTATGTGGGCAACACAGAATCCCAGGAAAATGCATATGACAAAATGAAGCAGGAAAACGAAAATGCAACATTTATCTATGATTATAGCTGTGCAGAATGATCCCCCCTTGGGCACACCAAAAAAAAAGGAAAACACCTGATGTTTTAGAGTAGAATAATTATAGGCATCATTTCTATTTTTAGCTTACTTTATTTTTTTTTTAGCTTTTTTATTATTCAGTGTGTACAATATGTGGAACTATTTCTTCTTTTTGTTTAATTGTGAATTTTTATTTGTGTTGTCACCTTTCCATTAATTTTTTTTGGAGATAGAAAGAGATCAGTAATATTGTCATAATCTGACCACAGTCAATGTTACTCTTTCAGGGTGATTTTTCTGCTGCATTTCTCACATAACTGTGATGAAATAGAGCCAGGCTGGGCATAGTAGCTCACAACAGTAATCCCAGCACTTTGGGAGGCTGAGGCAGGAGGTCTGCTTGAGTCCAGGAATTCAAGACCAGCCTGGGCAACATGGGGAGACCCTGTTTCTACAAAAAAACTTAAAAGTTAGCCAGCCATGATGGCTTGAACCTGTGGTCCCAGCTGCTTGGGAGGCTGAGGTATATGAACAATATTCAGTATATGTTTGTGGAAGGCCTCCTATGGTGCAAATGCTGGCTTACAATGATAAGCAAAGCAGACAGTGCTCCCACCCTAGAGAGATTACAGTCTATGGGAGAGTCAGATATGAATCCAATAACAATATTGACATAAGGTAACAAATAGTGGTAAATATGACTTATTCACTCAACACACATTTGAACCCCAGGCAAAGAGCAGTGAACAAGTCCCTGCCTTTATGGGATTTAAATTCTGCTGGGATGGGAGTGTATGTGTGGGAAACATTTAAAAAGTCAATAGGGTTGGGTGTGGTTGCTCTTGTCTGTAATTTCAATGCTATGGGAGGAAAGGTGGGAGGATCACTTGAGACCAGGAGTAAGAGACCAGCCTGGCCAACATAGTAAAAACTCATTTCTACAAAAAATTTAAAATTGGCCAGCTGTAGTGGTGTGCTCCTATAGTCCCAGCTGTTTAGAAAGCTGAGATAGGAGGATTCCTTGAGCCCAGGAGTTGGAGGCTGCAGTGACCTAGGATCACACCACTGGGCTCCAGCCTGGGCAACAGAGTGAGACTTTGTATAAAAAAAAAACACAGCAAATAGCTGCTAAGAGAGCATATAACAACCAGACCTGGGCTGAGGCTCCACCCGTGAAAGTTTCCCTGAGATGACATAGGACTGGAAGAATGAAGGATAAAGGATAAGGCCAAAGGGTCATGGCAGGAGGGTCCAGGAGAGAGCTTTCCAGGCAGAGGGGTAGCCTCCATAGAGCCACAAGTGCCCCAAGGAAAGAAGCAATGAATTGAAATAAGGCCTGTGTCGCTGGAGTGCAGAGATGGAGAGGAAGCCCGAGCCCGGCAGAAAGGGAGAGAGGCAGCTGTTGGATAACATAGCATTAGGGGTCATGGAACAAGGACTAATGGATGGCTCAGCAGGAGCAAGAGACATTGCATTTGCATTTTTAGAAGATCATCCTACTGCTGGGCCTGGTGGCTCACACCTGTAATCCCAGCACTTTGGGAGGCCAAGACAGGCGGATCACAAGGTCAGGAGTTTGAGACCAGCCTGGCCACTATGGTGAAACCCCGTCTCTACTAAAAATACAAAAGTTAGCTGGGCGCAGTGGCAGGCGCCTGTAGTCCCAGGTACTTGGGAGGCTGAGGCAGGAGAATTATTGAACCTGGGAGGTGGAGGTTGCAGTGAGCTGAGATCGAGCCATTGCACTCCAGCCTGGGCAACAGAGTGAGACTCTGTCTCAAAAAAAAAAAAAAAGAATCATCCTAGCTTCAAGTAGAGAGTGGGTTCTAGTGGAGGGCAGGCGACCAGTCTGGATACTTGTGGAGTCTAAACAAAAGAGGTGTCTGCTTGATCCAGGATGGTGGTGGGGAAGCTGGAGAAAAGAGGAAAGTGTTCTGGGTGACTTAGAGGGGAAAAGTGACCCCCAAGTGATGGCATTTTGGGGAGTAGGGGTAGAGACACGTCAAGGAAGATTCCCAGACTTCTGATTTACATACGTGCATAGAAGATGCCACTCACAGAGATCATGCATATATAATCTTTAAAAACCCAAAAGTCAACACTGGAAAAACTTAACATGACCAAAATTTAAATAACACTTTTAACATCATTCATCTTCAGGGCAATCATTAAGTATTTGCATAATATGCAAGCTAGTATGTTGTCCATCCTTTATCATTCTCCCGATGCAGGGCAGTGAGATTTTTCATATGAATATTGCTGTAATACATATCATCGTGCATTTTCTATTTTTATAGTGTCTCTGTCAGACACTAAAGTAGAATGATTGGGTTAAAGAGTCAAAATATTTTTGTAATTTTTTTTTAAAGTTAAATGATATTTTTTCTAGAGATAGGGTGTCACTCTGTTGTCCAGCCTGGAGTGCAGTGGTGCTATCATAGCTCACTGCAGCCTCAGAGTTCTGGGCTCAAAGGATCCTCCTGCCTCATCCTCCTGAGTAGCTAGGACTACAGTTGCACACTACTATGCCCAGCTAATATTTTTATTTTTTGTAGAGATGAAGATCTCACTTTGTTGCCCAGGCGGGTCTCTCACTCTTGGCCTCAAGTGATCCTCCCACCTTGGCCTCCCAAAGTGCTGGGATTACAGGCATAAACCATGGAGACCAGCCCTTTTTTTCATTCTTTATACATAATACCAAAATAGCTGTAGCAATATCACCTATGCCAGCAATGTTCAAGTCTGCCACTAGGCATCCTTGGAAGAAAAGGTATTATCAAGTATTTGTATTTTCCTAATTTAATATTTTGGTGGTATTATTTATAATCGTTAGTGATTATTTTTCTTTTTAAAAATCTTTATGTTCTTTGTTTAATAAAATATGCTATGTTTATTTGACAAGAGCAAGGTTTGAACCCTTCCCTCGTGTCTGTTTAGTAATTATATTTTGTGATTTGGAAATTGTGTGTTTTGTCAATTTATAAATCAGTGTCTCAGCTGGGCGTTGTGGCTCATGCCTGTAACTCCAGCACTTTGGGAGGTTGAGACAGGTGGATCACCTGAAGTCAGGAGTTCAAGACCAGCCTGGCCAGCATGGTGAAACCCTGTCTCTACTAAAAATACAAAATTAGCCAAGCTTGGTGGTGGGTGCCTGTAATCCCCACTACTCTGAAGGCTGATGCAGGATAATCACTTAAACCCAGGAGAAGGAGGTTGCAGTAAGCCAAGATTACACCACTGCACTCCAGCCTGGGCAAGAGAGTCAAACTCTGTCTTTAAAAAAAAAAAAAAAAAAAAAAATCAGTGTCTCAGAGTTCTTTATTGGAATAAGAAGTGTTTAATTTTTAAAAAGCTAATTTTTCTTATGTGTTTTAAATAAAAAAGTTTTTGAGCTTTTTTCTTTTTTTGGTCATAATCTTATAGTGATGAGATTAACTTTCATTTTGATGGAATTTGGAATGTTCAGCTATACATACCTTACTCTGGCTAGGGCTGTTGGAAGTAAGATATAAATCATCTGCGGACATGTTCATGCTAGTATTTGTTTCCTGAAGATAGTGAGAAACGAAGTTCAGACAGTAGTGGCATGCATATACAGGAAGGGGGCAAGATTTTGAAGAAATTCAAATATTTTGAAAGCAGAAATATTTCAAGGATGACTCTGGGGATGGGTGTCAGGATAATGACGAACAGGTACAGTCACCAACAGAATATTCAAGGTCAGGTAGTCGATAATGGCACCACGTTTACCATTACCAAGGAAGCAACACAGTATTAGTTCTGGCCTGTGACATAAGGGTGACCCAGGAAGGGAAACTGTGACATAAAAGTCTAAACTCAAACTCTCTGGGTACCTGTAACTCATCTTCTTAACCCTACACACCCAAGAGCCCCGTTAAGTGTGGTTGGTACATTTATAATGGTTAACTGAGCTTCTGGTACTAAAAAGAGCACAACAATTATGAAATCCATGGTTTAGATTCATCCATTCACTCAAAAAAAATAAAATATCAAAAAAGCTCAACATTTGCAAGTAAGAAAAAACTCTAAACATAAAGTGGAAGTGCAGGGACATGAAATTTGAGGACAGTGTTTCTATTTCCGATAGCCTCAGTTTGACAGAGAGAACACTTGTTTGTAAGCAGAATTCAGTCGACTTCATAACCAGCCTGCACAAGGCTCTTCCGAACCTTCCAGCGCCAATTGGGACGCACGGTCTACTTTATGCCAGAGAGAACCTCAGGGTTGAGAATGCACACATACAGGGAAATTACTAATGCACAGCCTGCCTGCTTAATTAGTCCAGCTTGACTCAACGTATCATAAGGGACTGTTGTCTACACTTCTAATTTGTTTTACCCTGAGGGTGATCAACTTGATTAAATTAAATCAGGTCTTTTCTTGCTAGGCCAGAGGCCCATCCCTCTGCTCCAAGTCCAAATGTCCTTTCTTCATCCACATAAATCCACCTGCGAAATGCTGCCTTGGATCTCATCCTAGCGCCTCTTGAACACGCCACTCCTCTTATATTCCTCCTCCTGAGTTAAACTTATTTGTCCTTTATTTCCGGTTTTGAGTTATGACACCCGCCTCCCTCTCCTCTCCTTTGTCTTTCCCAGCTCGGCCCTTGATGACCTTTGCCAGTCACTTTCGTCTTTATTCTGAGCAAGGCTTTGTGCCCATCTTTTTTCCATGACGAATTAATTATGTACTAACCATTTAGAAACGTGCTCAGTAAATGACAGCCGTCCATTTATCTCCCATTCTTGTTTGTAAGGAATTCTTTGGCCCCACTTATCTGTTGCTTGTTAATCCACCCTCCCTGGCCCATTCTTGAGTTACTATCAGATAGGAGACAGGGCCCAGAAGTAGAATCAGGTTCTAGCTGGGTGATCCTGGACAAGTATTTAACTTTCTTGGTTTTTCTTTCCCCATTTGTCAAAGAGGCATAAATGATGGGTAGATTGTTTGCAAAGAATTCCTCCGCAATTCCTATCATTCCTGGAGGTACACTCCTTGGCAATGTGACTCTTTGCCACTCTTAAGAGGTGAGGTCTCTTTTATCTCTTTCTTAGTGGTTGTCAGGAAAGTGGATAAACAGGTACAGTCAACAGCCAGAAAATTCGATGTTCAGGTAGTCAGTGATGGCACTGTGTTTACTATTACCAAGGAAGCAAAACAGCAACAGTTCTGTCCTTTGAAGTAAGACTGACCCAGGACAACTGCCATTAAGAGGCGGGGTCTCTTTCACCGCCTCCTGGAATCTGGGCCAGACTGGCACTTGCTTAGACCAATAGAATATGATGGAAGTGAAACTGAGACTTCTGAGTCCAGGCCTCAAGGGATCTTACAGCTTCTGCTCTCTTCCTCTTGGAACCTTGAGACTTGTGTATAAGGAAGCCTGGGCTCGTCTCCCTGAGGATGAGACCATGCACAGAGAGAGGCCTGGCAGGAAGCCATTGCCAACTAACCAACACGTGAGTGAAGGCATCTTAGACCACCCAGATCCAGCTGAGCTGTCATGGTGGTGCCCAGTGAGTGATCCCAGGCAACCCACCCAGCTGAGTCCAGCCCAAATGGCTAGCCCACGGACTGGTAAGCTAATAAACAGAAGTGGTTTTAAGCCCTTAAATTTTAGGGTGAGACTGGGAGTCGTGGCTTATACCTGAAATCCCAGCACTTTGGGAGGTCGAGGTGGGCAGATCACTTGAGGCCAGGAGTTCAAGACCAGCCTGGCCAACATGGAGAAACCCTGTGTCTACTAAAAATACAAAAATTAGCCGGGCGTGATGGTGCATGCTTGTAATCAGCTACTCAGGAGGCTGAGGCAGGAGAATTGCTGGGAGGCGGAGGTTGCAATGAGCCAAGACTGTGTCACTGCCCTCCAGCCTGGGTAACAGAGTAAGACTTCGTCTCAAAAAATAAATAAATACATAAAAAATAAATTAGGGGTGGGGGTTGATTATGTACAAGTTGAAAGAAACATGGACATAGAGATGAGATTATCCTGAAGATATCTTCTAGTCTGAAATCTATGGTCAGAAAAGCCTCAACAGTCCTACATCACATCCAAACCACTGAGAAAGCTTATAAAGCCAAAAGAGGTCTCCAGACATAATCTGGTCAAACACCTTGTCTTCGGGTGAAATAATACCTATAAAGATAATGGCAGATGATATGAATTGAGCTCCTGCCATCTCCTGGATTTTGCAGTCCTTATTGCCAGTTCTCACCCTCACACCACTCCAGTATTGTCCTCATTTACAGAAAGAAGTTTGGCTGGAGCTGCCGAACTGAGATGTGAACCCACACCCCTCTGAATCTAAAGCCCGTGTTCTCCCAAACATTTATCTCATTGTCTGTGGGTATTACTAACCCCACTAATAATGCAATTGATATAAACTTACAGTGACTTTTGCCAATTAAGCAGGCAGTAACGAGAATTCAAATATGATTGAAGAGAGAGCAGTTTTGCAAGTTCTGAGAGCAAACAATTCCCCAAGCCCAGAAAACAGGAAGAGCTTCCATTTTCTGGTCAGAAACATCTCAAATATTTTTCAGAATAGTTCCCTTTGTCAGCTCCTCTCGTCAAGAGCATCAGCTCCTCTTTGTGATGTTCTCACTTCTCTTTTTATCTCCTCCCTGACATTTCTCCTTCACTTTCCTTGCTCCCTTGTACACACATCGTTTTTCCTTTACAGCTGACCTTTGCAGACCTGATGTCTTGTTACACCTTGTTCTGCCTTCCAGGCAGCTCAGCACCCTGATCTCTATCAACCCTCTACCCCAACCTACAAGGATGTCTTGACAAATAGACCCTCCATCCCCTACAAGTCCAGCCGTCAGCCAACCCCAGAATGAAGTTTCCAATTACACCAAATCCTGCAAAAGTGATTTTGTCACTTGATTTGCAGATCAAAGCAGTATTAAAATTCTCCTCCCACACAGGAATCCAAACATAGTTTTGTTTCATACTGCCCGGCAACCATGACCCACGGAAAAGCACAAATGGAGGCGATGGGGCAGGAACTTAAACATCGGGCCAGGGCGGTAAGGGAGGATGGATCAGGATGTCTGAGCAGGAGCCTTTTCGAAACCCTGAAGCCACAGGGCGACTCACCAACCGGGGAGAGTGTGGCCCTTTGTTCTCCTACTCCAGAAAGGTGACACTTCCAGGTAACAGGATTCTTAGAGCTCATCCTCCAGGCAGAGCTTTAGAACAGCTGTTGAGGGTTCCCGGTCAGAAACGGGCCGAGTGAAGGGAGCAAAGCCCTGGGCTTCAGCGGCTTCATAATCCGGGGCCTGGTCTCTCCCTGTTGACCTTCTGAAAAGATGGTTATTTGAGAACCTTTGTCCCTGACATCAGAGCCTGTTCTTTGGTTCAGCCCAACGCCAAGACTCAGGGAGGGGCAAGGATTAGAAAAAGCAAGCAAGTGTACTGAAAAATGTGTTCTTTTCATAAGGGTAAAGTTGAATCATAGAAGCCTGAAGGAAGGAGAGCTCAGCCCAGGAAAAGTGGCAAACGGTACAAAGCCAGCCAGCCGGCAACAGCAACAGTGACAGCCCTTTAGGACTGAGAGGCAGCAAAATAACAGCACCAGCTTTCAGGCCAGGCTGGATAATAAAGCCCACTTCAACTCCACGAATTTACTCTAGGATAAAAAGCAATATTTTCTGTATTTAAAAAATTGACCACTGTATGGTGGCTCACGCCTGTAATCCCAGCACTTTGGGAGGCCAGGGTGGAAGGATTGCTTGAGCCCAGGAGTTCGAGACCAGCTGTGGCAACATAGTGAGACTCAGTCTCTACAAAAAACCCCAAACAAATGAACAAAACCAGCTGGGCATGCTAGTGTGTGCCTGAAATCTCAGCTATTCAAGCTGAGGTGAAAGAATCTGAGCTCAGGAGGGCAAAGGTGCAGTGAGCCAAGATGGTGCCACTGTACTCCAGCCTGGGTGAGAGAAAAGAAAAAAAAGGCTGGTGCGGCTAGCACTTGGGAGGCCGAGGTGGGCAGATCACTTGAGGTCAGGAGTTTCTAAACCAGCCTGGCCAACACGGCGAAACCTTGTCTCTACTAACAATACAAAAAAATTAGCCATGTGTGGGGGCAGACACCTGCAATCCCAGCTACTTGGGGAGTCTGAGGCAGGAGAATGGCTGAACTGGGGAGGCGGGAGGTTGCAGTGAGCCAAGTTTATGCCACTGCACTCCAGCATGGGGGACAGAGTGAGACTGTGTTCCAAAAAAAAAAAAATTGACCATTGCACCGTTCCTGGATGTTGCTTTTTACAAAACACAAACTCACAGTAGACGGAAAATATAAGTTTTCTAAGAAAACATAACAGTAAGGATGTGTAATTCCTATGTGGTTCAGACCGCAGTGATTGGTCCCTCACCCATAGTCACCCTCAAGAAGGTAGTGTAGGAAACACTAGGTGTCCACCCTGAGGTCAGACCTAGGGTTTAAGTGTCAGTCCATCTTGTAGCTTATCAGGGTTCTTCTGTCTTCCTAGGTTTACATGATCTCTTTTTGAATTTATACCTTTTACCTGAGCCAGCTCAGAGATCACCCACTGTCATTTCTGTATTTATTGAATTATACTGAATTACTTGTCGTGTACCTGTTTGGTTGTGTCACCAGGTGAGGACAGGTGCTGTGTCTCGTTTGGTATCCCTGGGACCTAGCATGGTCCCAGACTCATGGTCATCAGTATAGATTTGCTCAGTCTGGGGGATAAAAAATGAATTCTACAAACTTATTCTGCCATCATTGTGAAGCAAATCAATGGATGCTTGACGTAAGTGCAAGATGTGACCCTGCACAGAAATTAAAATCATGTGTGTAGAAAGTAATTTTTCCATAGGAAAAACTCTGGAAGGCTAATCATGCTAATAGTCACACAGTGCTTACCCTGAGCCAGCCATGTCACATATGTTAACTGACTTAATTTTCACAAGAACCCTTGTGAAGGTAGATAATATTATCCCTATTTTACCAATGAAGAAATTAAAATCCTGAGAGGCTAAATTGAAATCAGACTTTCTGGGATGATTGTGGCCCCTGATCTTTTTTTATTTTTTATTTTTTTGGAGACAGGGTCTCTTTCTGTTGCAGGCTGGAGGGCAGTGGTGCAATCTCAGCTCACTGCAACCTCCACCTCCCAGGTTCAAGTGATTCTCCTTACTCAGCCTCCTGAGTAGCAGGCACCAGCATGCCCAGCTCATTTTTGTAGACAGTGTTTCGCCATGTTGGCCAGGCTGGTTCCCAACTCCTGGCCTCAAGTGATCCTCCCTCCTCAGCCTCCCAAAGTGCTGGGACTAGAGTTGTGAACCACCATGCCCAGCCACTCTAATCTTTATTAACTGTGTAATTTTAACCTCTCCGTGTCTCAGTTTGCACATTTGTAAAGTGGGGATAAGAGTAATAATATCTCCTGGAGCATTTGTGAGGATTAGCGAAGTTAATGCCTGTAAGGCCCATACAGCTGTGCCTGGAACAAATGAAGCACTGTCATTGTGACCTGTGAAATGTGCAGGATGGTTGGTGAAGGTGGTGGAAGGATTATGGGGTTGGGGGTGGGAATTATGCATCACCACTCCCAGCACAAAAGAGGAGTGCACTGGGTGGATGTTCACAGACACAGGAGGAGTGCACTGGGCGGACGTTCACAGACACAGACAGGAGGAGTGCACTGGGCGGACGTTCACAGACACAGACAGGAGGAGTGCACTGGGCGGACGTTCACAGACACAGACAGGAGGAGTGCACTGGGCGGACGTTCACAGACACAGACAGGAGGAGTGCACTGGGCGGATGTTCACAGACACAGACAGGAGGAGTGCACTGGGTGAGGCTCATTGCCTGCAGTCACCCGCTAGCTCTCACACTGCAGCGAATGTACTGGCCAGTGGCACGGCTTGGGCCACACAGTTACAAAATTATTGCATGAACTTTATTAAAAGGTCTAAAAACACATCCTATTCCAAATCTAAATTAGTCATACTATTTCAGCATACATGAACAGCTCGTACCTTTATTTATCTTAAACCTGGATTCTAATTTCAGAAAATAACCATTTATTGATTCAACTAACATTTATGGAGCATTTACTGTATATTATACAGTGTTCTAGCAGCTTGGAATACATTAGTGTACAACAGAGACATTCTCACCTTTCTGGAGCTTGCTGTCTAGCAGGTGTCTCCACAGCCATCTCCCTGCATCAAGCCACCACCATCTCTCACCTGGATGTCTGCAGGAGCCTGATATGGTTTAGCTGTGTCCCCACCCCAAATCTCATCTTGAATTGTATTCTGAACTGTACTCCCCATGTGTTGGGGGTGGGACGTCATGGGAGGTGATTAGATCAATGGAGGTGGTTCCCCTATGTTGTTCTCATGATAATGAATGAGTTCTCAGGAGATCTGATGGTTTTATAAGGGTTTACCCTACTTCACTCGGCACGTCTCTCTCCTGACGCCATGTAAAGAAGGATGTGTTCTTTTCCCCTTCCTGCCATATTTGTAAGTTTCCTGAGGCCTCCCAAGCCATGCATAACTGTGAGTCAATCACACCTCTTTCCTTTATAAATTACCCACTCTCAGGCATGTCTTCATAGCAGCGTGAGAATGGACTAATACAAGCCCCTATCAGTTTCCCTGCTTCTGCTCTGGCTCTTCCATCCAGGCTCCACACAGGAGCAAGAGGGATGACTAAAGAACAAGATGCCACCAAATTGAGTTTTAAAGACTAATTGACATTTATTAGCAATTTTTTTTTTTTTGAGACGGAGTTTCGCTCTTGTTACCCAGGCTGGAGTGCAATGGCGCGATCTCTGCTCACCGCAACCTCCGCCTCCTGGGTTCAGGCAATTCTCCTGCCTCAGCCTCCTGAGTAGCTGGGATTATAGGCACGCGCCACCATGCCCAGCTAATTTTTGTATTTTTTAGTAGAGACGGGGTTTCACCTTGTTGACCAGGATGGTCTTGATCTCTTGACCTCTTGATCCACCCGCCTCGGCCTCCCAAAGTGCTGGGATTAAAGGCATGAGCCACCACACCCGGCCACAATTCTTACAAAATTTAATTTATTTATTTGTTTGTTTATTGAGACGAAGTCTCTGTCACCTAGGCTGGAGTGCAGTGGTGCAATCTCTCTGCTCACTGTAGCCTTCACCTCCCTGGTTCAAGCAATTATTCTGCCGCAGCCTCCACAGTAACTGGAATTACAGGCACTCAACACCATGTCCACTTAATTTTTGTATTTTTAGTAAAAATGGGATTTCACCATGTTGGCCAGGCTGGCCTCAGAACTCCCAACCTCAAGCAATCTACCTTCCTCAGCCTCCCAAAGTGCTGGGATTACAGCTGTGAGCCACCACGCTCGGCCCTGGTCTCGATCTCTCGACCTCGTGATCCACCTGCCTCGGCCTTCCGAAGTGCTGGGATTACAGGCGTGAGCCACCGCGCCCGGCCCTGGTCTCGATCTCTCAACCTCGTGAGCCGCCGCGCCCGGCCTTATTAGTGATTTTTGAATGCAGCAGCATCTTGCCTGGCAGAACAGTTGGTTTTTACAGGACAGCTTGAGCAGGACCAATAAAACAGCATAATACAAAAAAGTGGACTGATTAGCAGCAGCCTACTTCAGTTTACTTTCCCTGTGTTCCCTGTAAGGGTTAAAGCAGGGGAGCCTTCCTCATCGTGTGGGCTCCGGTTGACTGGGCTCTTTGTGATTAGTTGTCAGTCTGCTGGGTTTTTTTTTTCTGTGTGTGTTTTTTGAAAAGCTGGGCTATTTCGAGATTTGCCTGTTTTTGTTTTTGAAGTTTCAGTTTGATTATGTGGCACTTAGAGTGATTCCATTTTGGTTTGATCTGCTGGGCTCTAGTACAGGAGGAGGTCGGTACAAAATAGTGGCATCCCACCCATTTTATGGTTTATGGTTTTTTCTGGTTGTGTTGGTTTTTCTTTTTGACACGGAGTTTCGCTCTTGTTACCCAGGCTGGAGTACAATGGCGCAATCTTGGCTCACCACAACCTCGGCCTCCTGGGTTCAGGCAATTCTCCTGCCTCAGCATCCCGAGTAGCTGGGACTACAGGCACGCACCACCGTGCGCAGCTAATTTTTTGTATTTTTAGTAGAGACGGGGTTTACCATGGCGACCAGGATGGTCTCGATCTCTTGACCTCATGATCCACCCGCCTCGGCCTCCCAAAGTGCTGGGATTATAGGCTTGAGCCACCGCGCCCAGTGGTTTGTTTGTTTTTAGATGGAGTTTTGCTCTGTCACCTAGGCTGGAGTGCCGTGGCATGATCTTGGCTCACTG